TGGTGATTCGAGATTGCATGCTGCTGAATCAACGAGGATGGCGAGCCGCGTTGGTTGTCTGTGAGTGGCTTGCCTGTGCGCTGTGCATGACAGCCTGCGCTGCCTCTTGTTGGAGCTTTTCCAATCCACACCCTCACGCTGTGTGTGCGTGTGTGTGTGTCTGTGTGTGTGTGTCTGTGTGTGTGTGTGTGCAGCGCCCAATGGTACCTGGCCATCGTGGGCTTTCTTTTTGAATGAAACCGCCCACCACTGTGGTGAGTAGGGCGGGAGATGTCTTGCCGGCACTGCCACAGCTGGAGTACCTTCCTCTCTCACACGTGAGCCAGCGCGACCAAGTCCCCATTCCTCTTCCATTCACGCCGCTGTATCATGCCAATGACTCAAACAACGATGGCACTGGTAGCGATGATGGTGGTGGTGGTAATGGTAGTTTGGATCACGGCAGCAGCGCTGTGCACGATGGTGCGGTGTCGTCGGGAACAGCGACACCGCCATCAGCGATTTGCAACTCGTCGTCACAGACATCCACGTCGCTTGCACACCTTCCGGCATCGCTCTCCGCCACCTCCCCCATCAAACGAGGACACGAATACCACCAGCGCCAGCATTGACAACAGCAGTGGCAACAGCGGTAGCGGTAGTGGTGGGCATGAGGCAAACCAACTGCTGCTGTCGACGGTTGTTGGACAGGCGGAGCAGCGTCTTCCTGTTCGCTCATATTGGCAGACACACGACCACCTGTGGTCCTTCCACGACATCCGCTCTGTCGTCACGTCTGACCTTGCCATCTTTGGCGATGGCGAGAAGCCCGTGCCGGCCATCAGCCTGAAGCTGCGGGAGGACGGACAGTCAATCAACGTGCTCACTGGCATGGATCTCTGGCTGGACAACCTCATGTGCAACGTCCCAGAGATTATGATGTGCTACCACACGGTGCGTGAGTTTGTGTGTGTGTGTGTGTGAGAGAGAGAGTTTGTGTTCGCTTGTGTGTGTGTGTATTTGTGTTTGTTTGTTTGTGTG